ACAAAAAAGTAAATCAAATAAAGTGAAATTAAGATTGCGAATCATCATAATTTTCCCTTGCCAATTAAACATTTAAATTTCAGAATTTGATTCAACTTAGGATAAAAGTTGTTTAACAGAAGAGTTAGTTTAAATCGACGATCATAGATTCAGTCGCAGTATTGATACAAATGCACGTTTGTATTACAAGGGAGTAAACGCATTAATTGGAACAGTGATGTATTTTAATGTATGTACCCCCCTTGTAATACAAACCAATAATAGCGATTTGAAACTATGATCGTTTGTTAAACAACTTTTATCCTAAGTTGAATAAAATTCTGAGAATAAATAAAATTATTTGACCTTACGTTTTTGTTTAAAGTGAAATTCATCGGTACGTTTTCACTGCAAACAGACTATAGGCAATATATAAAACGTCCAGATATTACAGTCACTTTATAAATTCACTAAAAACAGATAACAATAAATCAATGATGCCAGGATCATAGGGCAGAAATATAAAGACGTACATTGACTACGTTCTTTTTCGATCCTAACAGTTTTTACTTCTGGCAGATGAAGTGAAACTTCAAAATGTTTTGATTTGTTATCATAATAATCAAGATGGAAATTTTAATGGGTCAAAAGATGACTATATATATTTTCCAATTAATTCCAAATTCATCTTTGTGATGGATGTAAGGATAAGCTGGTATAATACCAATTGCGCTTGCGGGTGGCGCAACCGAGATCGCAACCCAGTCAAGAATTCTGGGATATTATCCCGGTAGTCGCGGGGAAAATAACATTAACAAAAGCAACAACCGGTCCGGGGAATTGCTCAGAGTCTAGATCAGTATCCCTTTAACATGGATATTCGATATTTCTGAGCCGACCTTGTTTTATCACCTTAATGCCGGGCGCCATGCATGCCGGGTATCCTTGGTAAACGTCGTTTCCCGAACACTTGGTAGTATCGTTATTTGATAGTCTACTTTTAGTGTAGATTTCTTACAACTACGGAAATGCCTTTTTCGATTTTAAAGGACCCGTGAAGATCGGGTTAGAATTGATCTTCAGTGACCCATGCTTGTCGTAAGAGACAACTAACGGGATCGGGTGGTGGGGCTCGCTGACTTGGTTGTTACATGACACGGTATCTCAATTGCGTAGATCGATGCTGTTTTGATCAATGGATTGTCTGGTCCAGACTCGATTAGTTATGGACCGCCGCCATAAAGCTCGGATATTGTTGAGTGCTGCGTAAAACTAAATTCACTCACTCACCCAGAAATGGGCTTCACACATTGCACCCATGTGGGGATTCGAAACAGGGTTTTCGGCGTGACTAGCGAACGCTTAAACTGCTAGACTCCCGCGCCGCCGCCGATGTTAAATGACGAAGGCGTGGAGTTGACTTTGGATGTACCAGATCGCCAAACTGTCTACATTAGTGAGTGAATAAGGTTCACACCGCTTTTTGCAATATTCCAGCAATATCACAGCAGAATTGCAGAATTGCTTCACACACTGTACCCATGTGAGAAATCGAACTCGGGTGTTAGGCGTGACGACAGAACGCTTTAACCGCTAGGCTATATATTGCGAGGCTTGTGGGGCTTCGGTGTAATTTACATGCGTGGGAATACGTTCAATAGATCCTTTGTTTGATGTATTGATTTCCCGGAAGCGTGAGTATCTACATCCTGCGTTATGTACACTGACATTTAGTTCCAGAAATAAAGTTGTCATATTTAAAAATACACTTAAAAGTGGAAAATGAATATATTCTAAAACGAGCCCAGAGCAATTCTTAATGTCGTTCAAGAGCCGAAGCTATCAACTCGTTCATTCATTATACTTATGGGTTGGGCTTTATTCTCCAGGAACTCTCAGAGACTATCGACTAGACAGTCTCATTAAATGTTTATTCTATTATGATCACTACCTGGGTTACTTCGTCACATGCTGGGGCGGTGGGGTAGCCTAATGGTTAAAGCGTCCGCTCGACACGCTGAAGACCCGGGTTCGATTCCCCCACATGGGTGCAATATGTGAAGCCCATTTCTGGTTTCCCCCGCCGTAATATTGCTGGAATATTGCTAAAAGCGGCGTAAAACCATACTCACTCACTCACTCACTCGTCACATGCTTCACCGTCTTCACTTTTCTATATCTTATCACTAGTGAGTGTGTTAGTTTAGTTTTACACCACGTTTATTAATATTCCAGCAATATCACGGCGGGGGAAACCAGAAATGGGCTTCACATGTATCTATGCGGGGAATCGAACCCGGGTCTTTGGAGTGACGAGCGAACGCTTTAACACTAGGCTACCCCACCGCCCTCTTATCATTAGCTGTATTCTCGTCACGTCAAGGCGCGGTTTCGACTCTTAACATTGGTAAAATGTGTGAAGCCCATTTCTTGGTCCCCGGTCGGGTTATTGGTGTGGTGGAATATTGTGAGGCTCACCCACAGTATTGGCAAGACATATCGAAACTATCAAAGCTATGGCTGTCTATGTGCAAATCTCCTTGTTAATAATTTGTAACTTGTGACATGTGTTCATATACAAGTGAGTGAGTGAGTTTAGTTTTACGCCTTTTAGCAATATTCCAGCAATATCACGGCGGGGGACACCAGAAATGGGCTTCAAACATTGTACCCATGTGGGGAATCGAACCCGGGTCTTCAGCGTGACGAGCGAACGCTTTAACCACTAGGCTACCCCATCGCCCCTGTTCATATACAAGCACTTAACAGATATAGGTGGTAAAACAACATGTGTTGTCAAGTGGCATTGTTTGGAATTAGCCTCTGTTTTCCAAGCAAGAATAATTAATCGATAGGATCAGTAAGTGTGACGTCACAACGCTTTCAGCACAATTTAGCAGAAATAGCATACACAAAGTTGATAAAATCAAACACGAACCTTGGCGAGGCGAGCGAACAATTTATCAACTAGGCTAACGATTAACAGGCAACTTGGGTTGTACACTCTAAATACTAAAAGTTAGACTTATGTCTAGTCTATAAAAAAACATTTCTTTATAAGAAAAACAGTTTCGAAATTATGTTACTAAAATATAACAAAAAGGAGCTTAGAGACTTAATTCTTCATTTTTAAAAAACTGTGGTAATCTACTCCAGGTATATTTGTTTCAGGGTCTGCTTGACAGACTAAGTAAAAGTCATCGCCAGAATATAACCAGTCTCGATTATTCCCAGAAACAGTCGGAGGCCAAAGAAGCAAAGTCACTGGACAATTATCTGTGACAGGAACTACATAGTCCATGCTGTGGCTGATGTATTTCTTTCCCAAAAGAAACCTGTGGATTATAACAACATCATGTAGTTGTCCGACATGGTGCTTCCTGGGCCTCTGCACATGTTGTTTATACAGAGGACTCTCATGTGACCTCCCTCAACATCATTTGCAGGGACTGCATGTGCCAAAGCCCAGGATGTACCAGACCACAAGTAAGGTGGGCTGTTTACGCCATCAGAGACAGTGCTGAAAAGTATGGTGCAAAGTTAGTGACAAAAGCAAATTTACATGTTCTTGACCTCGATAGGTTTCTTACAAATCTGGTGACTTTGGTTTGCTGCATCTTCTCTTCTGTTCTCATGAACTCGGCTTCCACTTGTCATTCCTGCATATAAAACCATTTCGCGGTTGGTTTTATTGCCTGTACCAATGACAACGTGATAGCTGAGGTACATTAACTGTTAACAATGGTGTACAATTACACATCCACACTGTCAGCGTGGCACATTAGTGCGTGATCGTGTTGTCACATGTATAGAATAGTGCCAGGCATAGTGTCTGGTTTCACGCTCATGAAACACGGACTCCACACAGTCTGTGCTAATTGTGATAAGCTATCATACTGGAGTATCAATGGGTGAACTGTTAGTGAATATCTGAGCGTTGATGAGCAGAACATTTGGTGTGTGTTGAGTGAGAGGTTGGATGTGTGAGTGGTTGAGTGAGTGGTTGGATAAACGAATGAGAGTGGTTGAGTGAGTGGTTGAATAACGAATGAGAGTGTTTGAGAGTGAGTGAATGAACGTTGAGTGAGCAACAAAGAGTGGTTGAGTTAGTGGTTGAATGAACGATTGGTGAGTGAGTGGTTGAATGAACGAAGGCGGTTGAGAGTGGTTGAATGAACGAATGTGGTTGAGTGAGTGGTTGAACGAACGAATGAGAGTGGTTGAGTGAGTGGTTGAATGAACGAATGAGAGTGGTTGGGTGAGTGGTTGAACGAACGAATGAGAGTGGTTGGGTGAGTGGTTGAACGAACGAATGAGAGTGGTTGGTGAGTGGTTGAACGAACGAATGAGTGGTTGAATGGAACGAACGAATGAGAGTGGTTGAGTGGTTGAACGAACGAATGAGAAATGGTTGAGTGAGTGGTTGAACGAACGAATGAGAATGGTTGGTGAGTGGTTGAACGAACGAATGAGAATGGTTGAGTGAGTGGTTGAATGAGCTGCATTTCTATAGCGACATGCATGCACATCTGTTAGTGTCTGTGTGTGTGTGTGTGTGGAGTGAGTGAGATGAGTGTGTGAAAAATGAGTTTGTGAGTGAGTTCGGTTGGATGTTTGCTGTAACAATTCCAAGCACCAATGATTACACGCTCAATGCTATCACTGTATGATACACTTTCCAGTCTTCGTACCGGTAATAATTCATCCTCGATTATCTGGGGAAGTTTATGTAATTCTCTCATGATATGTACACAGAACCTCCATTTCTACTAACCCAGCAAAGAGTTCCTCTCGCTCCTGATCTTCAAATCATCAACCAGACAGTGTGTTTATATGTATCTGACATCTCACATTAATGGTCTCTGGAATCTGAATCTATTTAAATGTGTGAGTGAGTTTAGTTTTACGTCGCTTTTAGCAATATTCCAGCAATATCACCAGAAATTGACTTCACATATTGTACGCATTTGGGGAATCGAACTCGGGTCTATGGCGTGACGAACAAATGTTTTAACCACTAGGCTACCCCACCGCCCAACTCCTTGAATGAGTGAGTGGATATTGTTTGTACCCATGTCAAACTCGAACCGGGCCGTTGTGAGACGAGCGAACACTTCAACAACTAGGCTATCCACCGACCTGGCAACCCGAATTCAAACCTCCAAACGTCCAACAGTTAGCTTTGGGTGTATATCCTGAACAACACCATTACGAGAAAATGTTCCTTGACACTGATTTGTTTCTTCAAAACTTGGTCACTTTAGTGTGATGTATTTTATTCCTTGTTAAAAGAGCTCCTTTCTTCTCATTTGCCATCATCATTTCACACTTAGTTTGCTTTCCTCCATATAACTCCCTTTCTCGGTTGACACTATAGTACTCCGCGAAATTTGTACCAATAATAGCAATAGGTAGGGTGAGAATAACCATCCCTGTCACAGCACACATCGACGCTATCACTTGACCAGTAGCACTGACCGGGTAGATATCGCCATAGCCTACCGTCGTCATCGTAACCACCGCCCACCACCACGCCGACAGAACATTTGAGAAGGTAGCCTCACGCAGTTCACTAAGAAACGCCAAAACAGCGAACATAAGAGTCACACAGATGAAACTCCCAACCATAAGACAGAGTTCACCCGAGCTGGACTTGAGCGCCACTAACATGACCTTGAACCCTTGACATGACCTTCCGATACGGAATAGTCGGAATATTCTCGAAAAGGTTAGTCCCTTCAGAACGATATACATCAACATATTGGTGCTGTTTAGCACACACGCATATCCTTCCATGTAATAAGAGGGCCATTTGCATAACAAAAACAGGAGGTCAATCATATTGAGTAAACTCCTAAGAAAGTTGCACTTTCGCGGACATGTGATGAATCGGACTGCAAATTCGATTGTAAATATCACCGCCAAAACTAGATCGATGTGAGACAAAAAAAGGAACGGTCTAGTGGTGAAAAAAGCCAGCTCATTTTTCCATCCCCGAAAAAGTACTGTTCCGTTTAAAATCTTAGTGATGTTGCATTTGGTCTTTATGTCGGGATCTACTTCTCTGAAGCTTTTCACGGTTTCAAACATGAACACCAGGGTCGAGGTGCATATCAGCGTGAAGAAGAACTTTTCCCACAGCTGAAACAGAGCATGACCCACGGTTTGAATTATGTCATAGTCTTTAACATTTGTTTTACGAAATTAAATTGCTAAACAGTTCTGTTTTTTTCTGGACTTCTGTAAGCAATGGAAGTTTCTGTTTTTGTCAATTTTCACCTGGGGCTAAAGTTGGACCTACTTTTATAATTTGGGATTACACTTCCTCAGCAAGAGCCGCGGTGGCTGAGCGGGTTAGGCGCTTACTATGTGTGCTGGCAATTAGGTGCCTGACTCTGAGGGTGTGGCTTCGAATCCAGGATGGGCCTCAAACCAACAAAATTGCTAGAATCTGTACTTTACTGAGAAAATGTAATGCAAAATATAACATATGTTACATTTAATATGAAACAAACATAATTTCTTACTTTGGCTGGCAAAGATGATCCCGGATACTCCAGGAACATCCAGACAGCATGTCGGACTCTTGACTGACCCGCCATTTTCTTGGACATACAGAAGTCAGACACTTCATCATGAAACACTTGATTAAGCTTGGCGAGGACCGCCATGTCGTTCTGGACCTTGTAAAGCACCTTCCAGCAGCACTCGGACACATGTGTCTCAGGGATGCACCAGAAATGAAGCTCCTTCTTGATGGACGAGCTGCAAGCTCCTGGAGGAAGATGAAGCTCTCCCGTTCTGTAGTAGTTGAGGATGTAATGAAACATCTGGGGATCTCTGTCGAAGAAGTAGATTTGCTTATCGGGCTGGAAGTTCTGAGAGAGGAGACTTTCATTAGACAGTAACGTGTCTGGGACCTGGTTTAGAGTTGCCAACGATGTTTGGAACAACGTTCCTCCAACATTGATGGTTATGACATTCATCATTGGAATAGAAACTGCAGAACCCTTTCTACGTCCATACGAAATCTCTGCTAAACGCAGAGTGGGATGTAAAGCTCCAACTATGCCATGAAGTCGCATGGACAAACTACAGATCACGGAGATTGTGTCCAGTCTGATATGTTAGACAATGCCTTCCCCTAGTGTAAATGTAGAGACTTGTTATGCAAATAGTCGTCATGTCGGCGTTTATTTGGAGGCTTTTAGAGTAATCACATTTCGTTGATCGACTGTTTGGTAGAATTGGTAGTGATACGGTTAGATAATCGGATCGGGAGTTATTGGTATTTGTAAATGCGCTTCGTTGATATTGCTTGTCATATATAACTAAGTGATCGCTGTCCATCAAAATGCAATCGACATGTCATGTTGTCATGACGACCAATGAAACATATTGATGAAATCAACAAAACAAACCACAGGCGTTAATGATCACGAAAGACTTCTAAATTATACTTTGGATTAATCAGTAATGTGTTACCAACAGAAATAAAGGAACTGATGAAATGTTAGGGATCGAGTATTGACGATAAATGTCTGTGTAATTCATTTCTGGCGTGGAGATCAATATTTGGTGTGTCACGATGGTGAGCAATACATACGCCTAATTTTCATGGTATACTGTCAATTAATGTGCCTGTGGTATCCCCTCGTTTACTCAGCCAACTACCCCTGGTGGTCTCTAGGTCTCTGGCATACACCCGAGAACATCGCATAGATGCTCTATTGGGACATGCCAAGGGACTGAACCAGGCTCTCAAATGTCCGTATGAAGCCTCATCGGAGATCGGTGTTTGCAATATTCCAGCTACATGGCTATTAAAACGCGAGTTTAAAACGCGAGTTTTGGGGAATCAGCTCGCTTGGCAAGAGGTCTGCCCATACCAACCCACACACAACACAACACCTGAGTAAATAAACAAGGAGTTTATTACACAGCAGTCACTGAACGATTTTACATAATCAGTCAATAATAGCATAGTTTACAATTAATTATTAGAACATGATCAGAATGCAATCAGATATCAAAGTACATAAACATCACATGTAGATTCGTTATACACGACACATACTACATTAATCGCGATACATATTCCAATGTACACAACAATAGTTCAGAACTCTACACATCACCCCAGTGGGGTTTCATACAATCTACATTCTGTAACGGTCCCAAACAGCATATAGTATTCATGCACAACGTAATACAATAGTTAAAATATCCGACACACTCTATACATTCTATAATAGTCACAAAACAGTGTAGTGTCAATCAGTATGAAATACACAATCCTAAACTGCAATACAGAAGATATGAGACACATACTAAGGGATGCCTCGTTCCACATAAACCTGAAGGTACTGCCAGGGTTGTAACTTATAGTTAAGGTATTTACAATAGATTAAAGTTAACCTAGAATAACAATGGTATATATGTCAAAGTAGAAGAAAGTAAAGTTTCTTACCTGAGTAAATAAACAAGGAGTTTATTACACAGCAGTCACTGAACGATTTGTGACTGTGTGTTGTCCCTGTTTTATACCTATTCCAGTTATCATAGATAATCCCATTTACTGATACACTGACGATAAAGTTGTTGTTGTGAACTTCAGTTGCTATATCTAAATCCTATTGCCTAACTCGACTGACGATACGGTGCCAACTGCGCACTTAAGCTACTCTATCTTGACCGGATTATATGATAATTTTCATAAACGTATTGAAGACATCGGTGTTGATGGGTGAAGTTCACAGTGAATTTGATTAGTTTATTGCTATCTGCAGACCCGGACCAGATACTGGTTTCGGATGTTCGTTATCAATGTGACCCTTGGCAGCTTGAAGATTGGGAACAGAGGTCAGTTAATCTGTACATGTCCAGTTTTCAATAATATATACTGTCATAAATATTGGTAAAACTTTGTCTAGTTTTGCCGTGTTAATATTGCGACAAGCATGGGTTGCTGAAGACCTATTCTAACACGGATCTTCACGGGTGGGATAAACGGTGATGGTCTGGCATTGTCATCATCAGAATTCCCGAAAATAATTTTAGCGAATGGAACAACGACTGGACCCACAATTTCATGAAGTTATCACAGGCCAGTTAAATGCCAATTCACAATACCCAAAACAGGACCAGACTGGTCCAATTAATGTAACAAGACGAGTGTTGGTGCCATTTTTAGGACCCGGTCTCAATCAAACACCATCCGTTTGACGGTACTGCTCCAGTAGGTGTGAAAATTCAGCAGTCTGTCTTAAATTCGCCATTTTGTCTTTAAGAGAATGTCTCATTCAAATGGTCTTCTTACTTCAACTGCATTATTGATTGTAAGTGTCTGTGAGGCCCACACACGTGGGGTGGTTGGGTCGCCTAGTGGTTGAAGAGTTTGCTCGTCACGCTAAAGACCCGGGTTCGATTCCCCACATGAATCTAATGTGTGAAGCCCATTTCTGTGTTCCCTGCCGCGATATTGCTGGAATATTGTTAAACTCGGTGTAAAACCAAACTCACTAATTTGGACACACGCGCTGTTTATCCATGATGTGAATTTTAATTGTGATTAGAAGTAGAACCGGAGTATCGTAAATGGAGACAAACGAGCGTTTTCTTAAATCATTCGTTTTATTATATGTGTCGAGAGTATACGTAGGGTTTATCCATATGCATACTACTGAAATAAGTAACTGTACATTATTTGATTATAACATGATTTGTCGTATTTTCCTTAATCAATGTTTAATTGTCGACAGGATAATATCGAACTGAACCTGTAGGATTTGACACTCGGCATCGTGACACATGTTCTTGAAAAGATGCGGTGTGAAATGTCAGTTCACAAATTCAGTATCGTTTGTGTCCACTTTGGCGTTGATGCAAACTTGACAACGACGACGAATAGACGTCGCGTAGCGATTGAAGAAAGCTTGGGGAATGTTGCTCCATGTGTGAAACAATGCTTGTCCCAATTCAGCTAACGTCAATTGCTGATTCTGGGTTTGACGTAAACGTCGCTCCATTTCATCCCAAGTGTATTCGATAGGGGACAGGTCCTAGGAAACCGCTGGCAAGAGGTGTACTGGAATGTTCTGCTGTCTCAGGAAATCTGTCACAACATAAGCGACATGCATGTGGACGGGCATTATCTTGCTGAAGTGTCAAGTCTCTGACCTTGAATGAACGGCTGGACATGGGACCCAGTGATCTCATCCCTGTATCGCAGACCTGTTAGATAGTGTCCGATCATGAGATGTGATGGCACCCCATACCATAACGTTTTCTCAGCCAAACTGTCGGCGTTGAACAATGCACGCGTCAGCATAGCGGTTACCTTGCCGTCTGTACACCCTTGCCCTGTCAATCTCGACCTCTCAGTGAACAAAACACCATCCCATTCTCGTCTCCTGTACCGTAGATGCTGTCTGCACCAGGCAAGACGTGCATGACATTGGAGCAAATTTTGACGTATTGCAGGCCGTCGGGGCTGGATGTTGTGCTCCCTCAGTCGGTTCCGTCCAGTCCTGGAACTGATTGGACGTAAGCCAGGAATGGTCCGATCAGTCAAAGTGGCAGTGTGGACGGCCGGTCCGAGGCAAATCTCTCGTGTTCCCATTATGTTGAACACGTCTCCATAGAGATGAGATCGTGTTTCGATGGACACCAACATGTTTGGCCACTTCATTTTTTCATTTTGGGTCTTTCCAGTCTCCGGCATACCCAAGGCCGGAGACGCTGCATTTCTGTAAGCCGTGGCATGAAGTACGCGCAGTTTAGGTTGAAATTAACGCTTTTTCCACAACATTCGGAGCTTCGAGAATAATCACCCGTTGTTAATTTTTCAATATCAGGTGTGTGAACTTCAGGTGTCAAAAAGCCTACAGAAAGTGGGTAAGTTCACTGTGCACAAAGTCCACGTGGCATCAAATTTTAAGCAAAGTGCTTTGCTGCACATTTATGTTGGGTTATTTTTATAAATAAAAATTATATTCAAGAAACTTGTATTTTATGCACTTTTATGTCATACACAGTTAAATTTTTCGTCAGTATGCAATCAAGTTATTGATACAGGTTCCCGGCCGAGGCTGCAAATCGATACATCATCAATTAGACACATCAAGTAAAGTGATTACAATTTCGGTGTGTTTGTTCTACCATCTATGGTAGTCTTGTCGTCAAAGGAATATTGTAGCGAGTGAGATGGGATTAACGCTGCTTTGAATTATTTCTAACAGTGGGTCGAGGTCGAAGCTAGGCCATTTGTTGCTTTATAAAGTAAGTGTGTGAGTCACGTGTATACAACAGTGTCTGATTTCAAGCTTACGAACCGTACACGCGATCGGCTATCACTTTGGAGAGGCAGTGGCTGAACTGGTAGCGACTATTTAAGAGCTGGTGTGCGGAAATTGGGTTTACATTGCGTTCATGCATGCTCGACATTTAGGGTATGTTGAGTGAGTGGTTGAGTTAGTGGTTAAATGGGGGAGTGATTTAGTGGTTGAATTTGTGAGTGGTTGAGGAATGGTTGAATGAGTGGTTGCGTGAATGGTTGAATGGTTGATAGAGTGTTTGGTTGAGTGAGTGATTAGTTGTGTGACAGGGTGGGTGAGTGATTCGTTGAGTGAGTGGTTAAGTGAGCGGTTGACCCGTTGTCAGTAGCCCAAAGTCCTTGTCGGATGTCATGTTCGCAAACCACGTTTCAGAATCAGGGAAAATGTAGGATTCGAACCAGCGGACTCGATTTAAGGATACAAGTCTGTACAACGAGAAAAGACTTAATATCACAATGTCTTTGTGGCAGTAGATTAAAATGAACGGAACGCTGAAAGAAAAACTTAATTAAAGCATTTTCAGACATTATGTCGTATTGTTATCTCAAGATTCATAGCGTGCTGTTGAACTATTGTGCTCTTGACTTATAAATCAACGGAGGCGGGGCTAGCTGCTTGCATGATAAAGTGATTGATTGATTGGTTGATTGATTTGTTGGTTGGTTGATTGATTGATTGATTGATTGATTGATTGATTGATTGATTGATTGGTTGGTTGGTTGGTTGGTTGGTTGGTTGGTTGGTTGGTTGAGTGGTTGGTTGGTTGAGTGGTTTGGTGTAAAATACTGTAAATTGCACTTCTTAGACAGGCAATTTGTGGTACACGTTTATATG